AAGGTGACTGTTTTTACCCACTTCTTTGTTAGTTTAGGACAATATCGATTTTTCTTAATTTATCAGTCTAATAGGCAAAATGTGATATCTTGTTTGAATTGTAGTTTTATAATTATTAGTGAAGTTGATTTTTATGTTCACAAGCTATTTCATTTTCTTTTCCTTCGTATGTCCTTTTCAATGGCTTGTCGCTTCAAAATCCTCCCCTCTCCAACCCACTCCTACACTATACTCTTCACCTAAGGCAGCCACTAATCAGTTCTGTCAGTATAATTTGTGTTTTCTAAAGTTTTGTATAAATGGAATAATGCAGTATATACTTTTTTTTTGGTCTGCCTTCTTTGATTCAGCATAATTATTCTGAGATTAATTTAAGTTGTTATAATGAGTCAATAGTTCATTCCTTTTTATTACTGAGTAGTATTCCATCATATATACCAAAATTTGGTTGTCTATTCACTAGTTAATGGACATTTGGGTTGTTTCCAGTTTGGATCTGCTGCAAACATTTGTGTACAGTCTGTATGACTTATGTTTTCTTTTTTCTTGAGTAAACATGAAGGAGTAGAAATGACTGAGTCACATAGTAATTATACATTTAATTGTTAAAGAAAATGTAAAATGTCTTTCTTAAGTAATTGTATCATCGTACTTTCTGGAAGAGACTGTAAAACTCATGTTCATAATTCTGTAAATGTTTGGTGGAATCCTCCAGTTAAACTATCTGGGTCTAGAGATTTCTTCTTTGGAAGTTTTAAAACTATGAATTAAAAATTTTTAATGGTTATAGGACTATTCAGATGATCTATTTCATTGGGTGGTTGGTTTTTTTTAATTCACTACGACATTGTCTGATTTTACATTCCCATCAGCAATGAAAGTTCCAGTTCCTCCATATTCTTTTCAACATGTGGTATGGTCAATCTTTAAAAAATTTCAACCATTCTAATAGGTGTTCAGTGGTATCGCATCATGGTTTTAACATGCATTTCTCTATTGACCTAATGATGTTGAACATTTTTTTATGTTTGCCATTTGTATGTTTTCTTTGGTAAAGTGTCTATTCAAATATTTTGCTTATTCTTTAAAAACTGATTTACTTGTTTTCCTATTATTGAGTTATTGAGTTTTGGGAGTTCTTTATATTTTATATATATATATATGTATAATACAAGGTCTTTATCAGACATATGATATACAAATATTTTAACTCAGGCTGTGGTTTTTCTTTTCATTCTTAACAGCATCTTTTAGAAAATCATAAGTTTTTAAATTTGATGTTCAGTTTATTGATTTCTTTTTTTTATGAATCATTGTTTCTAAGAAATCTTTGCCTAACCTAAGATTACAAAGATTTTTCTCCTCGGAATTTTATAGTTTCAGCTTTTAAATTTGATTATAGCCCATTCTGAGTTAGTTTTCTTCTGTGGTATGAGATGTGAAGTTCCTTTTTTGCCTATGTATATCACATTGTTCCAGTACCATCGCTGTCCTTTCTCCACTGAATTGCCTTTGTAAAATAAATAAATAAATTTATCTGTATAGGTGTGGGTCTATTTCTGGGCTTTCTATTATGTTCCATTGATCTACTCACCTATCTTGACACCAGTGTCACACTGTCTTAATTGCTGTAGCTTTATAATACGACTTGAAGTCAGGTAATGTTAGCCTTCCAAGTTGGTTTTTCTTTGTCAAGATTGTTTTGACTATTCTAGGTTCCTTGCGTGTCCTTATACATTTTTGAATCAGCTTGTCAATGTCTACATACAAGCTTACTGGTATTTGAGTTGTGTTCAATCTGTAGATCAATTTTGTAAGATTACATCTTAACACTATTGAGTCTTTATACCTGCAAACAAAATATATCTCTGTTTATCTAGATTTTCTTAATATTTCTCAGCAATATTTTGAATACTTCAGTGTACAAAATCTTCTCTCTGGCACTTTGCCTTGCAAATTCTCACTTCCTTGCCTTTCCCATACTCCCAACTCAAATCTTCTCAACGTAGGGATACTACTGGGTTCCACCTGGGTTCCCCTTCCTGCACTGAGTCCTGCAAAACTCTAAGCTGGGACACTCATAGGGCTAACCTCATTTGTTTTTTTCTGTCTCTCAGCATTCACTGTCCTTCACTGCTGGATTTCCAATGCCTTTAAAACTACTGTTGCATGTATTTTTCCTACTTTAGTTTAGTTTAGTTTTGTTTTTACTTGTTTCAGGCTAAATGAGTAAAACTAGTTTCGGTGCCCTATCTTGGCCGGAATAAGAAGTAGCTGTTTGTAGTAGTATTTTAGTAGTAGTAGTTAGTAGCGGTTAATAGTAGTAGTATTTTCAGACGACAGTTTGGCCTTTTACATTAGAATTGCAAATGTATTTGTTTTTTGACTCAGCAATTCCAGTCCCTCTTCTAGGTGGTAGAGATAGAGCAGTGAACATGACAGACATGCTTCTATGTTGTGTAAAATCTAGCTTGGAGACTCAGCAAACAAAATCAATAAGTAAAACATGTTCTATGTTAGAAAGTGATAGGAAATGCTGAAGAGAAAAAAAAATTAAACATGGAAGGAAGATAGAAATGGTTGGGTAGAGGGAGGCATGTCAATGTTTTAAATATATTGACCCAGAAGGGCTTACTGAGCAGAATATGTTTCATTAGAATCCTAGAAGAATGGATATCTGGAGGAAGATCAGTCTGGGTAGAATAAACAGTCAGTGCAACAGCCTCATGTATTTGACAAATAGCAAGAAATATTTGTAACAACTACTATAGTGTTTGAGCTCACAAAATGGTAGCTCTTTAGACTATTATTACTAATGATGGTGGAATTAGGAATATGACCTAGAACTGTATGGCCTCAACATTCATCTTCTTGCTGTTCAGTTACATTTTGTCTTCCTTACAATCATGAGGCATATACTCATGGCTTGTAATTGTTCATACATTGTTTCTTATCATTGTCCTGCTTTTACACAGGCTTGCCTTGTGTTCTCAATCATGTTATTTCCATGCCTATGTAGTCTGTGTTGACCCTTGCCTGATGGGATATTGGGCTATGACATTTCTCTTTACACTAATCATTGAGGGTGATTTTGTTAGTCTCACTGGCTAGACAGTGGTCCCCCTTCTCCATCACATGTGTTTCATCTCACAGTGTATGCACTTGGGCTAAAAGGTTGGTCTCCATGGAGACCGGAAAATCCTTAGGTACACATGAGACATTATATAAAAATTCTAATCACAGCTCCTTCTGCATGCCTTCAGCACTTCCTATAGCATCCAAAGCACTGTGTTGGTGCTTTTTAATTTTATTTTACTTTCTATTGAATAGGTAATGTACCATGGCATGAAATTATAAAAGAACAATGTGACATAGAAGGGAAAACACAGTTGTTCTCCCTCTATTCCCCAGCCAGTCATTAGTCCTACCTTGAGACAAACAATGTAATCAGATTCTTTGGTATCCCTTCAGAACTATTGAAAGCATATGGGCATGTAATTGTGTTTAGTCTCCTTCCGTGTCCCACTCCCACCCATAGAAGGTACCTTGACAGCTCCTTTCATTCCTCTCTTATCACACCCTGTGAAGTAGGTTTTGCTGTCCCTATGTTACGGATGAGAAAGCTGAGGCTCGGAGAATTGAGGTGACTTGCCTAAGGTCTCCCAGGAAGGAAATGGAAAATCCAGGACTAATGCCACCTTTTATATGCATTTTTTCTTCCAAACTGAGAAGTGCCAGGTTCTGTGCCTTGAGCACGGTAGGAGATACCTAAACACTTACTGGTTACTAGAGTGATTAAGAAAATCTCTGATTCTTTGAATCATATTAGTATTCATGTTACAGACTCTAGATAAAAGGCCAGCAAGCATCGACTGGTGGGTAGCATTCAGAAGACAAAAACTTGATCCAGTTATTCTCTAGATATCTTCCTTCTTTCTCCACAGATCTATTTAGGTCCACCTGAGGAAAGCGCTGCACCGCCAGTGCCTCCGCCTCGGGTGACAGCAAGAAGGCACAAACCAATCACGATTTCAAAGCGCTTGCTGCGAGAAAGGACGGTTTTCTATACTTCTTCCCTGGATGAAAGCGAAGGTCAGTACTGAGGTTTACCCTTAGCTTCTGAATGGTGATTAGAGACAGAGAGGATATCGAAGGGCAGAAGTGGTGGCATGACCATTTTTCTCTCTATAAAAGTAGATCTTTCCTGGCTCCTGAGCTTAAAAGCAGCCAGTGTTTGTAGTTTGTGCTCAGAGAGGGGATTAAGCCTTTGACAGTAGATAGGATAGTGATGAGCTTATAAAGGAAGTTACCATGTGGAGGATCCCTATAAGGCCAGTGCAGGATCCAAGGTGTTCTTAGATTTATGCCCCTAATATATTGAAATGGGTGAGCAAGGTGAATGTGAAATTTTAAATTCAAATATAGCAAACATGGATTGGATAACTACTATGTGCCAGGTACTGTGCTGGGTGAAATTAAGATACATTGCTTGCCCTCACAGAAGAAATGGAGACATAGATAAGTGAAAAAATAAATGCCTTCAATGGAATAATTGCTAGTGTGGAGAATACACCCATTCTAAATGTGCCTCTGCCCTCCTACTCCACTAAGACCATTTTTGTCAGGTTTGCCAATAATCTCCATGAGGCCAAACCAAATAGCTACAACATTGTTCTCATCATACTCAGTTTGTGAGTAGCATCTGACACAGTTGACTAACTCCTCCTTCTTGAAACACTTTATTCTCTTGGCTTTCAGGACACCAGATTTTCCTTTCATCTCACCAGATAATCCATCTCAGTCTTCTCTCCTGTTTTTTCTTCTCTTCCCAACTTTACATGTTAGAAGGTCCCAGAGCTTTTTTCTTAGTCCTATTCTCTGATCATGTTCTTTTCCTGTATGATCTCATTAGGTTTCATGGTTTTACATATCATTTAAATGCTAAAGATGATTTCCAAATTTATCTAAGATTGATATCCTTCCTCTTTTGTCATATCAAAATTCCTGCTCAACAGTTCTCCTTGGATGACTCATGGGCATCTCAGTTTACACTGTGGAAAACATAACTTGATGCCCAACTCTTTCTTAACCTGTTCCTACTCTGGTCTCCCCCATCTAAGTAACTGGCAGCAGCAGTCATCCAGTTGCTAAGGTCAAGAACTTTGGAATCATCCTTGGTTACTCCTTTCCCCTTTTCCTTCATATTGAATCCATTAGCAATTCTTGTCAGCTCTACATGCACATTATATGCTAACTTCTACTACTGCCCACTGCTTCTGTCACTGTGAGCCACTATTATCTCTTACCTGGTACCATTGCTTGCCTTCTTCCTTGCCTATAATTCATTCTCCCTGGCAACCAGTAACATGTACATCCTTTAAAATATGGAAATCAGGATTCTGCAAGCTTCCCAAGCACATATGAGCAGCCGACTCCCTTGCTGTCTGAAACGTGGACCTCTCTCCATTTCCAAAATGTTGCTTTCTAACAAGCTGACACTGGACAAGCTGGACGTGAAAGGGAAGTGGGTCATTATGAGAGTCGACTTCAATTTCCTATGTAGAACAACCAGATAACAAACAACCAGAGGATTAAGGCTGCTGTCTTAAGCATCAAATTCTGCTTGGACAATGGAGCCAAGTCAGTAGTCCTTACGAGCCACCTAGGCCGGCCTGATGGTGTCCCTGTGCCTGACAAGTACTCCTTAGAGCCAGTTGCTGTAGAACTCAAATCTCTGCTGGGCAAGGATGTTCTGTTGTTGAAGGACTGTGTAGGCCCAGAAGTGGAGAAAGCCTGTGCAAACCCAGCTGCTGGGTCTGTCATCCTGCTGGAGAACCTCCACTTTCATGTGGAAGAAGGGAAGGGAAAACTCTGGGAACAAGGTTAAAGTGAGTCAGCCAAAATAGAAGCTTTCCGAGCTTCACTTTCCAAGCTAGGGGATGTGTATGTCAATGATGCTTTTAGCACTGCTCACAGAGCCCACAGCTCTGTGGTAGGAGTCAATCTGCCTCAGAAGGCTGGTGGTTTTTTTAATAAAGAAAAAACTACTTTGCCAAGGTCTTGAAGAGCCCATAGTGACCCTTCCTGGCCATCCTGGGTGGAGCTAATGTTGCAGACAGGATCCACTTGATCAGTAATATGCTGGACAAAGTCAATGAGATGATTATTGGTGGTGGAATGGCTTTTGCCTTCCTTAAGGTGCTCAACAACATGGAGATTGGCACTTCTCTGTTTGATGAAGAGGGAGCCAAGATTGTCAAAGACCTAATGTCCCAAGCTGAGAAGAATGGTGTGAAGATTACCTTGCCTGTTGACTTTGTCACTGCTGACAAGTTTGATGAGAATGCCAAGACTGGCCAAGCCACTGTGGCTTCTGGCATACCTGCTGGCTGGATGGGCTTGGATTGTGGTCCTGAAAGCAGCAAGAAGTATGCTGAGACTGTTACTCGGGCTAAGCAGACTGGGGGGGGGAGGGGTGGGGTATTTGAATGGGAAGCTTTTGCCCGGGGAACCAAAGCCCTCATGGATGAGGTGGTGAAAGCCACTTCTAGGGGCTGCATTAGCATCATAGGTGGTGGAGACACTGCCACTTGCTGTGCCAAATGGAACACAAAGGATAAAATCAGGCATGTGAGCACTAGGGGTGGTGTCAGTTTAGAGCTCCTGGAAGGTAAAGTCCTTCCTGGGGTGGATGCTCTCGGCAATATTTAGTACTTTCCTGCCTTTTAGTTCCTGTGCACAGCCCCTATGTCAACTTAGCATTTTCTGCATCTCCACTTGGCATTAGCTAAAACCTTCCGTGTCAAGGTTCAGCTGGTGGCCAAGAGATGCAGTGCCCAGGAACCCTTAAACAGTTGCACAGCATCTCAGCTCATCTTTACTGCACCCTGGATTTGCCTACATTCTTCAAGATCCCATTTGAATTTCTTAGTGACTAAACATTGTGCGTTCTAGAGTACATATATTTATATTTTGCCTGTTAAAAAAAGTGAGCTGTGTTAGCTTAGTTCTCTTTTGATGTAGGTTATTATGATTAGCTTTGTCACTGTTTCACTACTCAGCATGGAAACAAGATGAAATTCCATTTGTAGGTAGGGAGACAAAATTGATGATCCATTAAATAAACAATAAAAGTGTCCACTGAAACCATGAAAAAAATGGAAATCAGATCACATCATTCCATCTGTGCCAAATTTTCAGTAACCTCCCTTCATATCTAGAATAAAATTTGCATTTTATTCTTCATTATATGACTGTTGCTGATTTCTCTGACCTTCATTTCTGAACTTTGCTCTCTCACTGTCTCTTTTGCTCTATACTCTAATCTCATTGTTCTTGCAGGTCCTTACTTGTGTCAAACTTACCTAAGAGCCTTTGCATTTGCTACTCTCTTGGTCCTAAACATTCTTCCTCCAGAACTTCACAAGGCTCACTCTTTCATTCAGATGTCTGCTAAATGCCATCTTCTCATAGAGATCTTTTCTTAACATTCTACTTAAATAGTTCTTTCTCCTCCTCCAATCACTCCCTATCCCTTTATATGGCTTTATGCAACTCATATCCCCTGCTACTGTTTGTTCATGTGTTTATTATCTCTCTTTCCCGTTAGAATGTAAAATCTATTTGATTACCAGGCCCCAGAACAACTCCTGGTATACGTATCATGTATTCAGTAAATATTCTGAGAATGAATGAGTGGATGTATAAGGAATGATGAAGAGATTATCACTTAAGGGATCAACTCTTTCATAGAGGAGGTGAGCTGGCATTCAGGAGAAAGTAGAAGGGAACATTCAATGCCTGTCTGTTGTTTCATAGTCTCATTTTTACAGAATGGGTTTGTTTATTTACAGTCTCCTCCAATATAAACTCTAGGACACTTGTGTATATGCCAGAGGACACTTGTTTTTTCATACTGTATCTAAAGCATGAGCACAGTGCCAGGCATATAGTAAGTTCTTAATAAATGAGTGCAAAAAATGAATGAACTGGGTGTCAGTAGACAGAAGGTCTAATTTAATCTTGGCTACTAGCCTGCTGAATAACTTGAGCTAGTCACTTCCCCTCTCTGGACCTCAATTTGTCCCTCTGTGGTGATGAGGGCTTTGGGCCAGAAGATCTCCAATGAAGTTATCCAGTCTAGACATTTATTTTTAACTTTTAACTTTTTAAAAAACTGAGCTATAATTCACATACCATAAAATCCACCATTTTAAAGCATACATTTTAATGGTTTTTAGTATATTTTGTGCAACTATCTTATTCTAGAACATATTCATCATCCCAGAAACCCAATACTTTTAAATTTACTTCTCCCCCAACCTCTGACAGTTGCTGATCTACTTTCTGCCTCTACGGATTTGCCTATTCTGAACATTTCATAGAAATGTAACTATAGAATATGTGGACATTTTTGGATGGCATCTTATTCTTAGCATAATATTTTCAAGATTCATCCACATTGTAGAATGTATCAGTACTTCATTCTTTCTTATGGACAAATAATATTCCTTTGTATATATGTAGCACATTTTATTTATCCATTGATCAGTTGATGGACACATGGATTGTATTCATTTTGTGGTTATTATAAATAATGCCACTGTGAACATTAATGCACAGGATTTTGTGTGGATGTCTGTTTTTAATTATCTTGGGTATATACCTAGGACTGGAATTGTAGGTTATATGGTCAGTCTATATTAAAACTTTTGAAGAATTGCCAGGCTGTTTTCCAAAGCAGTTGTACCTTTTTTTTTTCCTTGAGATGAAGTCTTGCACTGTCACCTGGGCAGGAGTGCAATGGTGTGATCTCAGCTCACTGCAACCTCCGCCTGCCAGGTTCATGTGATTCTCCTGCTTCAGCCTCCCGAGCAGCTGGGATTACAGGCACACACCACCACACCCAGCTAATTTTTTATATTTTTAGTAGAGACAGGGTTTCACTACCTGTCTTGGCCAGACTGGTCTCAAACTCCTGACGTCATGATCCGCCCACCTTGGCCTCCCAAAGTGCTGGGATTACAGGCGTGCGCCACCACACCAGGCCACAGCTGCACCATTTTACTTTCCCACCAGCAATGAATGAAGGCTCCAATTTCACCACATCCTTGCCAATACTTTGTATAGTCTGTCTTATTTATTCTAGCCATTCTCTGTGAGTGTGAATCCATCATCTCATTTAATGTTCAACACTCCCATGAGAGGTAGGTATGCTGAACTCTGTTTTATAGTGAAGGCACTGGAAGCTCAAAGATGATGAGTAGTTTTCCCAACTAACACAGCTACTAAATGACAGAACAATTTGCACTCATCTATCTTATCCTGAAGCTTATTTATTTACTATAATATCACACTTCCTATAACCTGTGTGAACGCTGTTCTGAGAAGGAACCAATCCTACTTACCAGTAGCATCTCATTATCTTACTCTGAAATTTGTTATCCCTTTTGTATATAGTAGGTCAGTGACTCCTTTCACCCTCTCATGGACTCCATCACACCTCCATAACTAAGCCCTGGTTATTCCACTTCTTTAACCTCTCTTGAATCCACCTCTCTTTTCTGATGCAGCTCTAGTTTGGATCCTTCTCATCAGGAGTCCCCTAGCTGGTCTTTCTGCCACCAGTCTTTCTGGTCCAACCTATTTTTTGTTGGAACAAGCCTACTTTTCATAATGAACCCAAAGGGATGTTTAAAAATGCATATTTGATAATGCCACTTCTCCCCACCCCCAGCCCTCTGCCCCCCAAAATCATTGTCTTCTGTGACTCAAAAGCAGAGTTTGTATTCCTGAGCATGGCATTCATGGACTTCATAATATAGACCCAACTTATTTCAACAACCTCACCTCCAGCTACCCACACTTTTTCATCTATAATTGGTCCCTATGCTCAAGCCAAACCAAACTTTTCATTATATTTTCTTAGGCAAAGCATGGTCTTTCATTCCTCCAAGTTGTTTTTTGTTTGAATGCCCTTTCTACTTTGCTTCACCTTTTGTAATTCTTCAAGGCCCAGCTCAAAAGTTACCTCTTTTATAAAGACCCTCTCTAATCCTTGCAGTCAGTATTAGTACTGTCTTACTCCTAGCACTTATTTGCATGAATCTAAATGTATTATAATAATTGATTTATTTCTATTACAGTACTAGTGTGTATCCTCTCAAAGCTTCTCCCTACCTCTTACCCACCCAAAGAAGAGAGGCCTCCACTGTAAGGGTTGGCCCCATGCCTATTTATGAGGCCTCACTGTCTGATCCTGATTCACTCGCAGTTCTTCATAGTCCCTGAGGCTTGTCTGTGTGTTTTCCTGTAGAAATGGATGGCTGGTTAGGGAAAGGGGATGGCACCGAACTTTTATTACCTGACAGAGCAATGAACTGTCTCTTCAGAAATAGTAAATAGACTCTGGAAACAGACTTCAAGATTTGAAACTTGGCGTTTCCACTTAGTAGCTTTGTGACATGGAGACTTCGGGTGCCTTAGATTTCTTATCTGTAAAATGGGGCTAATAACAATGTACTACTTTATAGAGCTGCTTTGAGGATTATATGAGATAATCCAGGTAAAGCATTTAGAACAGGGCCTGCCATGCTATAAGTGTTCAAGTAATGGTATATGTTATCTTTATCAGTATTATTCTCATTATTACTATCATTGTCACTATTATCATTATTTTTATTCACCATACCCCAGAACCTGGAAATAGTTTCCCTGCTGAAAGGCCTAGCTCTGAAGTCATCATGGCTTCTATCATTACATTTCCTATTTTCCCTAGCAAGCAGAAGATACTTTCCTGAGTGGAACGTAGCAGCCTCTCTGAGGCTGTGTATGTGGATCCTCTTTATGAAAACTGACCCTCTTGAGATGGTGATGATACTCTATGGCCTGTAGGGCACAGGCAACCTTTATTGTCTTCCCTAAGGGAGAGCAAAGATGGAGTCACTTGGCCAGAAGAAAGTATTCAGATAGGAACATGCAGCTGAGATGTTGGGCTAAAGCATGTGAGGGAAATAATTTATGTCACCATGCACTTTATTGTTTGGAGAGAGTAGATGTGCTTGAGTTACTCCTGAGTGCTATATGTTTAAAGATGGCCTCTGCCGCAAGGCACGTCCTGGAAGCCAGAGGCTCTAGTTACTTGGCACTCTTGTGCTCATGTTCATGCCATTATTTGTGAGCCTTTGGTAGTTTTTTTTGTTTGATGGCCTCTGTCTGGCTGCACTTGTGCTAGGGTTAATAAATAAAGGGCTATGTGTCTACTTTGGGACAAAATTAGGGGGACTGCAGGGGAACTCCCCTTGGTTCCGGCCCCTTTGGTAGTGGCATCAGTGGTGGCAGATTCCCAAGGAGAACAAAACTGTCTAGGGAACAAAAACCTTTGCAGCAAGACTTCCCCCATGGAAACTCTTGCCTCACTGCCCACCCACCACATAATAGTGTAAGTAATAACCACCAATTAATGAGTGTCTGTTATGTGCCAGGCACTGAAATAAGTATACCATCTCCTGGAATCCTCACCACAACCTCATGAGACCGATATTCTTTATTATTCCCATTTTACTGAGGAGAACATTTGAGGTACAGAGAGATAGGGAACTTGTACAAGGTCTCACAGTTGGTAAGAAGCAGAACTGAGATTCAGACCTGGCCACCTGGCTTCAGAGCCTGCATTTCTTTTAACATTTTATTACGAAGAATTCCAAACATAAACAGAAATTGAAAACAAACATATTGAACTCCCCACATTTCAGCATTTGAAAACATATACCCAGTCTTATTTCATCTATACCCTTACCTGTTCCCCCAACCTACTCATCATGTCATTTCATTTGTAAATGTTTCAGTATATATCTCTAAAAGAAAGGAACTCTTTTAAAAGCAAAACCACAATATCATCATCATACTTAAAAGAAAATAAAACAAAACAGTGATTCCTTAGGATCAACTATCCAGTCAGTATCCACATTCTCCTATTATCTCATTTTGTTAAAAAAAAATCAGTATCTAAATAAAATCCATGTATTGCAATTGGTTGATATATATCTCAGGTTTCAATTTTCTGGCTGGAACCTCTGTTCTTAACCACTACACTCATAAAGTTTTTTATGACTATGGCAGGTGACAGTTTCTTTACAGCAGGCATTCTCAATCTGGGG